CAGTTATTGTTGACCTGTTTGCAACTGCAAGTAATGAAATGTTTGTATTCTTTTTTCCTACCAGTTGCTCCGAGTGAGTTACTGAGGCCTTAAGTGCTAGTTAATGAGAAAGGGGTGGACTGTCTGGGGAACTAGAAGCTAATCTACACTGTGATTCTCTGTGTAGCAAAATAATTTTATCAGAAATTCAAAACATTGCAATGCAGTGTGCGCAAGATTCGCCTCTCTAGGTTTCAGCACCCTCTCAGTTATGGGTCTCCAGGAGCAAATACACCCAGTTGACCTGCCTTTGGCCATTTTTCACACAGAATTGACCTCCTAAACAAAACAAAAAAACCCTAAACTTCGTAACTGGGAGGATTGTGTAGGGTTGATGGTTTCTCCTAGAAGAATAGGTGGGGAGAATTACCTGTCCTGGGCGCTCCCGGAAGGTGTGGTTCTCCCGTTTTTTAAAAAAGCCAATTAAAAACAGGCAACGAGGCTGGAAAAAGGATGGCTTGCGGTTTTGGAAAGAGCAACATCTTATCACTTGGAAGGGAACCTATGATCTTCTATCCGAAAAACATGTACTTCAGCACTGATTTTTTTTTTCAAATGTGTGTGCAAAGACAGAATGGTTGGAAACAATGGCCCCAGGTTGTTGATCTTGTTGGTGGAAAGCATTAAGTAAGACGCTGTCCAAGACATCCTTGCCACACAGGTCTACGTGGCTTCCAGGGGGCAGTTTCCTGATAATCACTTGTTACTTCAAAGCTTTATGGTTGCCTTGAGAGCTACAGATGGATTTTTCACACCTCTTATCAGTCACTTCCCCATAAAGAATCCCTCCGTTATCTTCGCCGGTACAATCCGGCTTTGTATGGCCCGTGACCAATGGAATAACACACATTAATCTAACGCAAACATCTTGTGCACTAGAAAACACAGGAATGGGGAAAGTTTCTCTTTAGACCGGCGGTTCCCCACCTTGGGTCCTCCAGATGTTCTTGGACTACAACTCCCAGGTGCCTGCATCACCAGCTGTACTGGCCAGGATTTCTGGGAGTTGTAGTCTAAGAGCATCTGGAGGATCGGAGGTTGGGAACCACCGGTCTAGATGTATAACTCGCGAGGTCCTCAAGTTATTCTGGGAATTATAGTGAGGTTGGGAACCACCAGTCTAGATGTATAACTCGTGAGGTCCTCAAGTTATTCTGGGAATTATAGTTTCCAAAAATAACTCTTCCTGTCTATAAGAAAGATCCTCTACTAGCTCTTTAAAATTAATTTCCCTGTGCAGACTTGATACAGGATTGAACCAGGGAGTCTAATTAGCAGCAGTCTGAGTTTGCAGGTGAGTCATTCCCACTACCCATGCAACGGGGGAAAAAAAATGAAAAGTGGTGATAAAATGTACTTGAATAAATAAATAAATTTTAAGATCCAAGGTGGTAATCGTGCTAATCCTGCCTATTCATCTGGCCACTGACTGCCTTGTCCAGCTCTTCAGAAGCATACCTGAGGTATGATGTAGGACACATCGTGCAACCACAAAAATGGTTTTGGACTACAACTCCCAGAATCCCCGACCAGCACCGCCATGGGGATTCTGGGAGCCGGCGTCCCCTCACTGTACGGTTCCCAAGGGCTGAGCTAGTGTGCAACCTGCAGGAAACCACAACCAAAATTCTCTGCCGTGAAAGCCCTTGCATGTTGCTGATGCAACTGTTGCATGTTTCAGAGAAGATTGTTTTAAAATGATGATCAGGAAAGGGCCTTGTGACACCTTAAAGACTAAGACAGGGCCTAAATGTTTGTGGGTCACAGCCCATTTAAAGACACCTGCAGAGGTCGGAAAGCTTGCTTTTCCATACTACAACAGCCAGAATTCCTGAGCCAGCAGAGAGTCCAGAGAAAAAACTTTCCGGTCTCTGATAGGATTTCTCTGCAGCCCTGGAATGCAATAATCATTTGCTACCAGACGTGATCAGAGATCTAGAACAAATGGGTTCTAGACCAAAATCCAGGCCAGGACTCTCCCTGGGAATTAAAAGTGCTCAACTGAAAGCTATTGCATTTCTAGACATTCAGGAGAAAATGACCTGGAAAAGATAAGAATGCTAGGAAAAGTGGAAGCCAGCAGGGAAAGAGGAAGACAAAAACATTGGAAGGATGGACTCAATAAAAGAAGCCACAGCTTTGAGTTTGCAATGCAGTGTTCCTTGTGGAGACCAAAAACATTCTATTTTTTAAATACAGAATTTCCTGAATCAGAGTCAAAGAAAGGAAAATTTTCCTGTCTCTGACCACTAGGATTTTCCCCGTGACCCTGGAATGCAACCCTCCTCGGTTCCGGTTATCAGAAATGGAGAAGAGATTGGACGTTGACAAGCAGTGGGTTCTAGATCACATGAAATGTGAAAATTAGCAACATGCTAACATGACTAAACTGGACTTTTTCCGTGTGTGGTGGGGACACAGACTCCCTGGGAAAGATCCTACTGTCTGGAAAAGAGGAAAATTGAAAGTGAGATGAACAGACTCAAAAACAGAGAAGCCACTGCCTTTGGTTTGCAAAAGCTGAAAATGGGGGCTATTATGGAAGGGACTTCTTGGAGGTCAACAATTAAGTAAGGTTTGAATGTTAAGGGACGTAGTGGCGCTGTGGGCTAAACCGCAGAAGCCTGTGCTGCAGGGCCAGAAGACCAGCAGTCGTAAGTTCGAATCCACGCGACGGAATGAGCACCCGTCGCCTGTCCCAGCTCCCGCCAACCTAGCGGTTCGAAAGCATGCAAATGTGAGTAGATAAATAGGTTATGTGTGTTGGGGACACAGACTCCCTGGAAAAGATCCTACTGTCAGGAAAAGAGGAAAATTGAAAGTGAGATGGACAGACTCAAAAACAGAGTAGCCACTGCCTTTGGTTTGCAAAAACCGAAAAAGGGAGCTATTATGGAAGGGACTTCTTGGAGGTCAACAATTAAGTGAGGTTTGAATGATCTTAAGAAGCCAGGTGAATTAAAAAACATTGGGGCTTGCTAATGGGGGTAGCTGTGTCTCTCCTTTCCGGCTTCAGCTCATCCACGCAGGCTAAGCAGCCGGCATTCCTTAGGAGTCCTGGACTCTCTTGTCTTGAGATCACAATGGAAAAAACCCTGCAGGGCTCGGCCAGTTCAGGATGAGCGGTCACGTTTATTCCCGCTGGCCTCTTTTTGCTGCCTCCCGATCCTGATGCTATCTCGTCTTGTTGAACCCAGGTATACAAAACGGCACGATAAGGCCGGTTATGGATAGTCGGGAACCAGGAAATGAAATAAACCCAGGTGCTCAATAGCTGCCAACAAGCCTGCCGGAGACCCACTTCCCTGGTTTTACATGTTTGCATCATTGTCCCTTATACATTTCTCCAGGAAAGATTAATCCCCCCCCACCTCCCCCGTTTAAAAACAACTCTTGGATTCCTCCCTCTAGAAAACAAAGCTCAAAACCGACTGAGGGGCAATGATTTTATAAGCTTATAGCTGCCTTAATTGTGTTTTTGAGATAAATCGGGTATTGAAGGAGTGGATTTCCCAGTTCTATACACCCCGTGAGTTTCCATGGTTGAGCAAAGATTTGAAGCTTGGTCTCCAGCAACCAACTTTTATTAAGACCACCTTATTTAGACTTTTCATTCAGGCTAACTCTGGCTCCAGAACCGTTTTTGAAAGCTGTGGGATGTTTGTGTGCTGCTGTGTGTTTCCTAATAAAGGCATGGCTCGCTGGCAGGTGCTCGGTTGTGTTTCGTTCATATGAGTGAACTCTGCATCCCCCAGAGAACAATGTCCAGTTTGCCTTTTTATGGATTTGAGTCCTTGTTTTGTTAATTCAAAGGCTAAGAATAGCTCCCATATCTACCTGTCTCCCTCCATAAAAGGTCATAGCCACCACCATTATCTTAAGAACTAGAAGGGACCACATAGATCATCAAGTCCAGACCCTGTCAGGGAGACACATTGGAGATTCAAACTCCCAACCTCTTGTACCGCAGCCAGATGCTTAAAAACCGCCGAGCTATCCACTAGTTAGGTAGATGGCCATGTCTTTTCTATGCTCTTATGACTAGTAGATTTCCTTTCTGCTCTTTGTCTTAAGATGGAGCCATGAGCTTCCAGTAAGATTCGGGCTGCTTCCAGTCACAGTGGGCCTAGCCGTCCCGCTGAAAATATATTATGTGGTATGCGAGTATTCAACCTTTTTCTCTTTCATCTTTTTTTTTTTGCTCTAATAGGACAAAAGACAGAAGTACTGGCACGGAAACCCAGAAGAGTTAAACATGAACATTTGCAAAAGAATTTCAAGGGGTCTATTTGTTCTGCAGTGACATCAAGTTGTTTCTTGGCTTAAAGCCGACTTTGTGAATGACTGACCTCCCAAATGTCCTATCATTAACAGCCCTGCTCATGTCTTGCAATCTGAAAGTTGTGGTTTCCTTTACGAGTCCATCCATCTCGTGTCTGGCCCTCCTCTTTTCCTGCTGCCTTCAACTTTTTCTAACATTATTGACTTCTCATCAACAATACTGCTGCATTAAAACTCCTGATTGAGCTTTGTTATCCATGAAACCTTAATTGTTTTGTTGTTATTTTTTTGAGCCACATGACATACAGGCCTAATGTACTCTTGCCACCCTGCAGGGACATTCTGTGGCTAAGCATGGATTCAAATCCTGCACCCCAGTTCAACATTCGACACCATGCTGACTCTCTCTCTTTCTTGGCTTGCTGAAACCCAAAACCATGCTGACTCTCTCTCTCTCTTTCTTGGCTTGCTGAAACCCCTGAAAGACTTCCTCAAGGTTCACGTAATGGGACTTGGGGGCCAAAAAGAGTAACTTCTCCATGTTCTTCCTACACACACACACACTCGGGCCCACACACTTACTTGAGCAAAGAAGCGGATCCATCTTAGGCCAGCTTCCACAACACAGATGTCAGAAGCCCCGTCCTTTTGGCGATCCATTCCTTTGCAAAATATTCCGCGGAACACGCCTTTATTGTAATAATAACTGGCTGATCACACACATTTGCATGCAGTGACCACATACTGGGCTAAGCAAACTCCTACAATGTAATTATTGGTCTTTTATAGCTCCACCCGGGGTGTGCAATTATCACCCGGGAACAGACCTCGTTGGGTCCCCGACGACGAAGACGGAATGTTCCTCCAGCTGATCTGCTTGAAGAGTATAAACAGTCATTAACCGCCGTGACATCTGTTTCTAGAAGGCCCAGAATAACATCAGTCAGCTGGGTTTCTGCAAAAGAAGCATTACGGGAGTGTTACCAAGGTGGTGGGCTGGGCACGTGGGCGCAGCCACAAACTTCATCATCTCTATGTGTTGTGCCCATGGGTTGCACCAAGCACAGAGGTTGGCCAAATCCGACATGTCAGCCTGGCCCTCTGTACCCTCAAAATACCTCCAGCAAAATTTATGGGTTTCCCATTATTTGTATGTTGTTGTTTTTTTTTTCCATTCCCAAAAGTTGAAATGCCCTTCTTGACGACAGTTCTGCATCTTTAAGCTGAAACAGGCAGTCTTGGGTGGGTTCAGTCTTTTTATCCTTGGTTACCTCTTGCTGCCACGCCATCCCTGAGAACCTCTCTGGAACTGATTCCAGCCCCCTGTCCTTCTGTTAACTATGCCTCCTGAGCACATATGCCAGTGCCTTGTCCAGAAAGAATGGGGAAATAAATGCTTGCAGTGTCAACCCCTGCCACTAGTGGGCGATACACATTCAGTGTGTCGGCCAATGTTAAGCTCGCTCAAGGCCACATGAGCTGGCTGTTTTCCTACAAAGCACGTTTGCAGGACGTTAAACTCTGGACCCTTGGTGTTCCTCCAACCCCCTGAGCTATCCAGCCAGCTTTGGCCAATATGACAGTACATTAAATACCAATAATGTCCTTTAGTTTCTACAGAGGCAGAAACTAAACACCGTATTATTCTTCTGTTTCCTGTTGCAAAGAGAGGTAGAGAAGAGGTCTAAGGAGAGCCGTTATTATGGGAAATGTCGGATGCTGGGTCCAGGTCACCTTCCCTAGGATCCTGCCACTGGGTGGCCTCTCCACTTTACATAGGGGTTGCCCCCTCCCTTCAAAATCTCCCTCCTAAGTTTCATTTAGCAGGCAGGTGAATGGAAATATGCAGGCGGTTTTGATTGCCAAGTCTTTTGTCCTCCGCTCATCCTGGACCATAACTTCCTTTCTGAGATCCGTTCAGAATTCATCCTTCCGGCTAAAAAGAAAAACTCCCCGTATTGGATTTATAAGAATTGAACGGCATTTCATCCGCCTTTGAAAACCAAGATGGGCTCACGGTTTCCTTTTGGAGGGGGGCTCCTTCATCCTAAATAGTCTATTTTGTTTCATTTGGGCTTGTTTTGAAAACAAACAAACAAAAAAATCCCAAAGATGTTTGTACTAAGTTCCTTTGGGAAATGGCAGTGCACCCTCCTCATGGAGTAGATCTTGCCCTCAAAATTTTGCAAAATGTCCCAAACTTCTTGCTTCCAAGCTAAATGTCTGGAGAGATTTACAGGATCAATCTGATGCTTCCCCCTTTTTTTGAACCAAGAAGGGACACCTTAGCAAGACACTCACCTGGTTACGATCCTACCCATGAAGTAGACACTATAAATTTCTTTAACGTCACCTTTCACAGTCAGGATGGCTGACCCGGTCACAGGCTGAATGGGCTGAAGAGAGAAGAAGGGGGAAATTTTTTTCCCCAGACCTTTCCAGGGGGTGCCCAAGTCGAAAACCGCCGTTTTGATCTGTTTTTGACCACAGTGTTAAAAAAAGGGAAAACGTAACCCTCTTTGTCACCCAGTTTTCCCCTCAACCATTTTAAAATGGTGTCTCCTATGAGGCAGAACCACTTTTCCTCATTAAAACCAACCAGGAATTTTCATACCACTTGCCTTTGAGATGGCTTTGCTTGCACTGATTTATTCCAGGGTGTAAATCTGGAATCTTTCCAAGCAAAGCATGTCCTCTATCCATGAGATGGATTCTACCTTTGTCCTTACAGGAGAAACTAGCCCTGTTAGACCACAAGTACTAACTTCTCCTGTTTGAATCATCCTTCACCGAAAGGAATGCAATACAGTTTCGAAAACCGGAGGATGCTTCCAAAGCGGCAACTCACATCGGAGCCAGCAGGGGGCACCCAAGAAATATTGATCGTCTTGGTCTGTCCACGTTCCACCGTGCCTTTCACGGGGTCAACGGTGAAGCCTTTGAGCTGCAGAACTTGCAGGCTTTCCCAGCTGAACTCCACGTTCTGCAGGGAAAAAAAAGATGGGCAAGTGGGTCAGTCAGATTCTTTGCCGTGGCCAGGGAAACCTTCAGCCACGAGGTAGAAACAGATCAACCAGCTACGGGCCCCAGTTTTCAGCAATCAGTTTTGGCTTTGTTCACACTGTTTTGGAGGGGATGGGGGAAGCGACGATGGCTGTGTGTCCTTCCTGGCGGATAACAGCTAGGAGAGGAGTGCCGGTCAAAAGTGGAGATCAACATTTTGTTTTTTAAGCCGGTGATTGTTAATTTATTTTTGAGTAAGGGCTGTATTTCTAATCCTGTACGCTGGGGATTAGCGCAAGCTCTGTGGAGCCATCAGCAGCCATAGGATTCCACTACGGATTGCATCCTGCTCCCAAATACCCCTGTAAGTGGTCACATTTACGCCCCTCTGTTTCTTCTCCTCCGTCTTGAAGCCCATTCGGCGGATAACAGCTAGGAGAGGAGTGCCGGTCAAAAGTGGAGATCAACATTTTGTTTTTTAAGCCGGTGATTGTTAATTTATTTTTGAGTAAGGGCTGTATTTCTAATCCTGTACGCTGGGGATTAGCGCAAGCTCTGTGGAGCCATCAGCAGCCATAGGATTCCACTACGGATTGCATCCTGCTCCCAAATACCCCTGTAAGTGGTCACATTTACGCCCCTCTGTTTCTTCTCCTCCGTCTTGAAGCCCATTCTTCCCAACCAGTATGGAGGCGCCTTGACATAGGATGAGTCGATTTTGACTTATGGTGACCCTTTTTTTATGGTTTTCCAGGGAGAGGATACTGAGAAGGATACCCTTCCCTTCCTCCAGGGGGCACCCTGGGACTGTGCAGCTGGCCCAAGGCTACCCAGGCTGGCTCTTCTCTCTGGAGG